ACCAACCACAGCCACAACCACCTCTGCTATTACGACCGCCGACCGACGACACCTGCGGCTACAACCACAGCCACAACCACCCTGCTACTACAACCGCCGACACCACGACTCCTACAGCAACAACCACAGCCACGACCACCTCTGCTACTACAACCGCCGACACCACGACACCTGCGGCTACAACCACAGCCACGACTACCTCTGCTACAACAACCGCCGACACCACGACACCTGCGGCTACAACCACAGCCACCTCTGCTACTACAACCGCCGACACCACGACTCCTGCAGCAACAACCGCAGCTACAACCACCTCTGCCACTACAACTGCCGACACCACGACACTTGCGGATACAACCACAGCCACAACCACCTCTGCTACTACAACCGCCGACACCACGAGTCCTGCGGCTACAACCATAGCCACAACCACCTCTGCTACTACGACCGCCGACACTACGACTCCTGCGGCTACAACCACAGCCACAACCACCTCTGCTACTACAACCGCCGACACGACGTCTCCTGCAGCTACAACCACAGCCACAACCACCTCTGCAACTACAACCCCCGACACCACGACTCCTGTGGCTACAACCACAGCCACGACCACCTCTGCTACTACAACCGCCGACACCACGAGTCCTGCGGCTACAACCACAGCCACAACCACCTCTGCTACTACGACCGCCGACACTACGACTCCTGCGGCTACAACCACAGCCACAACCACCTCTGCTACTACAACCGCCGACACGACGTCTCCTGCAGCTACAACCACAGCCACAACCACCTCTGCAACTACAACCCCCGACACCACGACTCCTGTGGCTACAACCACAGCCACAACCACCTCTGCTACTACAACCGCCGACACCACGAGTCCTGCAGCTACAACCACAGCCACAACCACCTCTGCTACTACGACCGCCGACACGACGACTCCTGCGGCTACAACCACAGCCACAACCACCTCTGCTACTACAACCGCCGACACGACGTCTCCTGCAGCTACAACCACAGCCACAACCACCTCTGCAACTACAACCCCCGACACCACGACTCCTGTGGCTACAACCACAGCCACAACCACCTTTGCTACTACTACCGCCGACACGACGACTCTTGCGGCTACGACCACAGCCACAACCACCTCTGCTACTACAACCGCCGACACCACGACTCCTGCGGCTACAACCACAGCCACAACCGTCTCTGATACTACTACCGCCGACACGACGACTCCTGCGGCTACAACCACAGCTACAACCACCTCTGCTACTACAACCGCCGACACGACGACTCCTGTGGCTACAACCACAGCCACAACCACCTCTGCTACTACTACCGCCGACACGACGTCTCCTGCAGCTACAACAACAGCCACAGCCACCTCTGCTACTACAACCGCCGACACGACGACTCCTGCAGCTACAACCACAGCCACAACCACCTCTGCTACTACAACCGCCGACACCACGACTCCTGCAGCTACAACCACAGCCACAACCACCTCTGCTACTACAACCGCCGACACCACGACTCCTGCAGCTACAACCACAGCCACAACCACCTCTGCTACTACAACCGCCGACACCACGACTCCTGCAGCTACAACCACAGCCACAACCACCTCGGCTACTACAACCGCCGACACGACGACTCCTGCAACTACAACCACAGCCACGACCACCTCTGCTACTACAACCGCCGACACCACGACACCTGCAGCTACAACCACAGCCACAACCACCTCTGCTACTACAACCGCCGACACCACGACACCTGCGGCTACAACCACAGCCACAACCTCCTCTGCTACTACAACCGCCGACACCAAGACACCCTCGGCTACAACCACAGCCACAACCACCTCTGCTACTACTACCGCCGACACGACGACTCCTGTGGCTACAACCACAGCCACAACCACCTCTGCTACTACAACCGCCGACACGACGACTCCTGGGCTACAACCACAGCCACAACCACCTCTGCTACTACTACCGCCGACACGACGACTCCTGTGGCTACAACCACAGCCACAACCACCTCTGCTACTACAACCGCCGACACCACGACTCCTGTGGCTACAACCACAGCCACAACCACCTCTGCTACTACAACCGCCGACACACGACTCCTGCAGCTACAACCACAGCCACAACCACCTCTGCTACTACAACCGCCGACACCACGACTCCTGCAGCAACAACCACAGTCACAACCACCTCTGCTACTACAACCGCCGACACGACGACTCCTGCAGCAACAACCACAGCCACAACCACCTCTGCTACTACAACCGCCAACACAACACCTGCGGCTACAACCACAGCCACAACCACCTCTGCTACTATAACCGTCGACACGACGACTCCTGCAGCTACAACCACAGCCACAACCACCTCTGCTACTACAACCGCCGACACGACGACCTGCTACAACCACAGCCACAACCACCTCTGCTACTACAACCGCCGACACGACGACTCCTGCGGCTACAACCACAGCCACAACCACCTCTGCTACAACCGCCGACACGACGACTCCTGCGGCTACAACCACAGCCACAACCACGTCTGCTACTACTACCGCCGACACCACGACTCCTGCGGCTACAACCACAACCACAACCACCTCTGCTACTACAACCGCCGACACAACGACACCTGTGGCTACAACCACAGCCACAAACACCTCTGCTACTACAACCGCCGACACGACGACTCCTGTGCTACAACCACAGCCACAACCACCCTCTGCTACTACAACCGCCGACACCACGACTCCTGCAGCTACAACCACAGCCACAACCACCTCTGCTACTACAACCGCCGACACCACGACTCCTGTGGCTACAACCACAGCCACAACCACCTCTGCTACTACAACCGCCGACACCACGACACCTGCGGCTACAACCACAGCCACAACCACCTCTGCTACTACAACCGCCGACACGACGTCTCCTGCAGCTACAACCACAGCCACAACCACCTCTGCTACTACAACCGCCGACACCACGACTCCTGTGGCTACAACCACAGCCACAACCACCTCTGCTACTACAACCGCCGACACCACGACTCCTGCAGCTACAACCACAGCCACAACCACCTCTGCTACTACAACCGCCGACACCACGACACCTGTGGCTACAACCACAGCCACAACCACCTCTGCTACTACAACCGCCGACACGACGTCTCCTGCAGCTACAACCACAGCCACAACACCTCTGCTACTACAACCGCATACAAACCACAGCCACAACCACCTCTGCTACTACAACCGCCGACACCTGCGGCTACAACCACAGCCACAACCACCTCTGCTACTACAACCGCCGACACGACGACTCCTGCAGCTACAACCACAGCCACAACCACCTCTGCTACTACAACCGCCGACACACGACTCCTGTGGCTACAACCACAGCCACAACCACCTCTGCTACTACAACCGCCGACACCACGACTCCTGCGGCTACAACCACAGCCACAACCACCTCTGCTACTACAACCGCCGACACCACGACCCTGTGGCTACAACCACAGCCACAACCACCTCTGCTACTACAACCGCCGACACGACGACTCCTGCGCTACAACCACAGCCACAACACCTCTGCTACTACAACCGCCGACACGACGACTCCTGGCTACAACCACAGCCACAACCACCTCTGCTACTACAACCGCCGACACGACCCTGTGGCTACAACCACAGCCACAACCACCTCTGCTACTACAACCGCCGACACCACGACTCCTGCGGCTACAACCACAGCCACAACCACTTCTGCTACTACAACCGCCGAACCGACCCCTCTGCTACTACAACGTACAACCGCAGCCACAACCACCTCTGCTACTCGCGGCTACAACCACAGCCACAACCTCCTCTGCTACTACAACCACACGACCACACTCCTGGCTACAACCACAGCCACAACCACCTCTGCTACTACAACCGCCGACACCACGACTCCGGCTACAACCACAGCCACAACCACCTCTGCTACAACCGACACGACGACTCCGGCTACAACCACAGCCACAACCACCTCTGCTACTACAACCGCCGACACGACGACTCCTGCGGCTACAACCACAGCCACAACCACCTCTGCTACTAAAACTGCCGACACGACAACTGCGGCTACAGCCACAGCCACAACCACCTCTGCTACTACAACCGCCGACACAACGACCCCTGCGGCTACAACCACAGCCACAACCACCTCTGCTACTACAACTGCCGACATGACAACTGCGGCTACAACCACAGCTACAACCACCTCAGCTACTACAACCGCCGACACCACGACTCATGCGGCTACAGCCACAGCCACAACCACCTCTGCTACTACAACCGCCGACACCACGACACCTGCGGCTACAACCACAGCCACAACCACCTCTGCTACTCCAACCGCCGACACGACGACTTTTGCGGCTACAACCACAGCCACAACCATCTCTGCTACTACAACCGCCGACGCGACGACCCCTGCGGGTACAACCACCTCTGCTACTACAACCGCCGACACAACGACACCTGTGGCTACAACCACAGCGACAACCACCTCTGCTACTACAACCGCCGACACGACGACACCTGTGACTACAACCACCTCTACTACTACAACTGTCGACACGACGACCCCTCCGGCTACAACCACAGTCACAACCACTTCTGCTACTACAACCGCCGACACCACGACACCTGCGGCTACAACCACAGCCACAACCTCCTCTGCTACTACAACCGCCGACACAACGACACCTGTGGCTACATCTACAGCCACAACCACCTCTGCTACTACAACTGCCGACACCACGACTCCTGCGGCAACAACCACAGCCACAACCTCCTCTGCTACTACAACTGCCGACACCACGACTCCTGCGGCAACAACCACAGCCACAACCACCTCTGCTGCTACAACCGCCGACACCACGACACCTGTGACAACAACCACAGCCACAACCACCTCTGCTACTACAACCGCCGACACCACGACACCTGCGGCCACAACCACAGAAACAACCTCCTCTTCTACTACAACCGCCGACACCTCGACACCTGTAGCTACAACCGCCGACACCACGACACCTGTGGCAACAACCACAGCCACAACCACCTCTGCTACTACAACCGCCGACACCACGACACCTGCGGCCACAACCACAAAAACAACCTCCTCTTCTACTACAACCGCCGACACCTCGACACCTGTAGCTACAACCACAGCCACAACTTCCTCTGCTACTACAACCGACGACACGACGACACCTGTGACTACAACACCCTCTGCTACTACAACCGCCGACACGACGACCTCTCCGGCTACAACCACAGTCACAACCACCTCTGCTACTACAACCGCCGACACGACGACACCTGCGGCTACAACCACAGCCACAACCTCCTCTGCTACTACAACCGCCGACACCACGACTCCTGCGGCTACAACCACAGCCACAACCACCTCTGCTACTACAACCGCCGACACACGACTCCTGCGGCTACAACCACAGCCACAACCACCTCTGCTACTACATCCGCCGACACGACGACGCCTGCGGCTACAACCACAGCCACAACCACCTCTGCTACTACAACCGCCGACACCACGACACCTGCGGCTACAACCACAGCCACAACCACTTCTGCTATTACAACCGCAGACACCATGACTCCTCCGGCTACAACCACAGCCAACCACTCTGCTATTACAACCGCAGACACCATGACTCCTCCGGCTACAACCACAGCCACAGCCACCTCTGCTTCTACAACCACCGACACAACGACACCTGCGGCTATAACCACAGCCACAACCACCTCTGCTACTACAACCGCCGACACAGCACCTGCGGCTACAACCACAGCCACAGCCACCTCTGCTACTACAACCGCTGACACAACACCTGCGGCTACAACCACAGCTACAACCACCTCTGCTACTACAACCGCCGACACGACGACTCCTCCGGCTACAACTACAGCCACAACCACCTCTGCTACTACAACCGATGACACAACGACCCCTGCGGCTACAACCACAGCCACAACCACCTCTGCTACTACAACCGCCGACACCACGACTCCTCCGGCTACAATCACAGCCACAATCACCTCTGCTACTACAACCGCTGACACAACGACCCCTGCGGCTACAACCACAGCTACAACCACCTCTGCTACTACAACCGCCGACACGACGACTCCTCCGGCTACAACTACAGCCACAACCACCTCTGCTACTACAACCGCTGACACCACGACACCTCCGGCTACAACCACAGCCACAACCACCTCTGCTACTACAACCGCCGACACCACGACACCTGCGGCTACAACCACAGCCACAACCACCTCTGCTACTACAACCGCCGACACCACGACTCCTGCGGCTACAACCACAGCCACAACCACCTCTGCTACTACAACCGCTGACACAACGACACCTGCGGCTACAACCACAGGCACAACCACCTCTGCTACTACAACCGCCGACACAACGACACCTGCGGCTACAACCACAGCCACAACCACCTCTGCTACTACAACCGCCGACACGACTCCTGCAGCTACAACCACAGCCACAACCACCTCTGTCACTACAACCGCCGACACCATGACTCCTGCGGCTACAACCACAGTCACAACCACCTCTGCTACTACATACGCCGACACCACGACCCCTGCGGTTACAACCACAGCCACAACCACCTCTGCTGCTACAACCGCCGACACCACGACACCTGCGGCCACAACCACAGCCACAACCATCTCTGCTGCTACAACCGCCGACATTACGAATCCTGTGGCTACAACCACAGCCACAACCACCTCTGCTACTACAACCGCCGACACGACGACTCCTGTGTCTACAACCACAGCCACAACCACCTCTGCTACTACAACCGCTGACACCACGACTCCTGCGGCTACAACCACAACCACCTCTGCTACTACAACCGCCGACACCACGACACCTGCGGCTACAACCACAGCCACAACCACCTCTGCTACTATAACCGTCGACACGACGACTCCTGCAGCTACAACCACAGCCACCTCTGCTACTACAACCGCCGACACCACGACACCTGTGGCTACAACCACAGCCACGACCACCTCTGCTACTACAACCGCCATTACGAATCCTGTGGTTACAACCACAGCCACAACCACCTCTGCTACTACAGCCGCCGACACCACGACACCTGCGGCTACAACCACAGCCACAACCACTTCTGCTACTATAACCGTCGACACGACGACTCCTGCGGCTACAACCACAGCCACATCCACCTCTGCTGCTACAACCGCCGACATTACGAATCCTGTGGCTACAACCACAGCCACAACCACCTCTGGTACTACAACCGCCGACACCACGACACCTCCGGCTACAACCACAGCCACGACCACCTCTGCTACTACTACCGCCGACACGACGACTCCTGCGGCTACAACCACAGCCACAACCACCTCTGCTACTATAACCGTCGACACGACGACTCCTGCGGCTACAACCACAGCCACAACCATCTCTGGCAGTACAACCGCCGACACTTCGACTCCTGTGGCTACAACCACAGCCACAACCACCTCTGCTTCTACAGCCGCCGACACGACAATCCAAGAGGCTACAACCGCAGCCACAACCACCTCTGCTACTACAACCGCCGACACCACTACTCCTCCGGCTACAACCACAGCCACCTTTGGTACTTCAACCGCCGACACGGCGACACCTTTGGTTACAACCACGTCTCCTACTACAACCTCCGACATTACGAATCCTGCTGCTACAACCACAGTCATAACCACCTCTGCTTCTACAGCCGCCGACACGACAACCCAAGAGGCTACAACCACAGCCACAACCACTTCTGCTACAACCACCGCTGACACAACTCCTTGGGCTACAGCCACAACCACAACCGCCTCTGCTCCCAACACCACTGACAAAACTACAAGTGAAACTACGACCGCTGACACCGCCGATGGCGCTGCGACCACTGCCACCATCCCTCCTGTCACCACGGCCACTGCAACCACCGCAGCTGCCACATCCGCTGGCACAACCGCTGTCAGCCATGCCAGTGCTCCCACTGCCACCGCCGGTGTCACGCCCTCTGACCCTGCCAGCGGAGCCACCGGAAGCGACGCCGCCACCCCCAGCGCCCCCGTGGGCACGGCGCTGCCCCCGCACCTCCCCTCCTGCGGCTGCGGCTGCGGGACCAACGTCAAGTCGACCACCGTCATCAGATGCAAAAAGGGCGCCAAAGGTTTCGCTTGTCGCTTCCCATCGTTTGTCGTTCATCTGTCGGAGGTCCTTCCGATGGGCGTGATGACCAAAGTCAATGGCTGATGATAACCCATGTCATTCCTGACCTTGTTGCCATAAATGATACAGCTGTCATATGTTGCAGCCATCGTTAGTGTAGGCAAAAGCAGTTCCCAATCATTTCAAAAGCTTTTTGATAATACACTAGGAGACTGGGCACTTATCTCAACCCAATATCTCGTTCCAGGTTGCAAGAGGCACGGCAGCGTCTTCCTCAAGGTCCTTCAGAGAATCAAACGCAACTGAACAGCGCACTCGAAGAATCGCCGGCCTTTGTCGCTGACGAAGCCGCAGCTGATTTCTTGGGCGACCGAGCGAGGCGTTTCGCGTGCGATCGGCAGTCTGTTTAGAATACAAGTTCATCTCGGTAGTTTGGGGGACTCGTGTCCTAAGATTTTACATATGATTATCATTAAAAAGACAAACAAGTAATAAGGACAAAGAAGTAAAAAGACACACCGCAAGTAAATATATATATATATATATATATATATATATATATATATATATATATATATATATATATATATATATCTTTATGAGTTATCCTGCCCAGTATTCGGATCACTACCAAAATTTTAATGGCATCTAAGTGTGGCTAAGACACATTTTTGGTTTTAAAAAAAGTCATATAAAATTGTTTATTGCTTTTTAAGTTATCCTGCCAACCAATTATCCAACAAACTACCCAACGCTACCATAAACATAGTCTCCTAGGCGGAGCTAATAATAATAATAATAATAACAACAATAATAACGATGATGATGATGATGATGATGATAATGGTAGTAATAATAAAGAGAATGATAATAATAGTAATAATTTTAACCATTATGATAATATTAGCAATAATTATAACCATTATGATAATGATTACAATGTGATAATGATATGTGTTTCATTCACTAAGATCAATGAGCCTACAGATTGCAAGCACAGTTCACTGAATTTTTACTTAGATTTCATTCAAATACTGAAACAAACTTTAGGCCTACAGCAAACATAAACCATTGAACTGAATATAAAATTTCAGCGAACTGTTGTGCTCACAATTTGTGGAATCTGAACTAAGTGAATGGAATTCAGAGATGTGATTTTGGAAATGAATCAATATACGGGGAAAATGTGAGGCACAAGACACCATCATAACAATATTACGTAGAAAGTCAACACATCATTTCAATAAACCGCTTTCCCGCCTCACAGGAAACAGCTGTCAAAATGGAGCAAAAGTGACGTCATCCGTTGTCATAGCTAGCCAATCAGGGCACAGAAATTGTTCCATTTACGGATTTTTTTTTTTTTTTTTTTTTTATTGACAGTATCAATATCATTAGTGCAACAACAAATCGACAATTTTGTTTAAGCTTGCGAAGCTTTTTTTTTTTTTTTTTTTTTTATAGAAGCTTGCAAAATAAACAGGAAAAATCGTATTACGTCTAAAGTTACCACAGATCTCAATGGGATAACGCTAGCTCCCTTTACATGCCTTGATCAGTGGAAAGGGGTAAGACCTGGAAAGGCTCTGATTGGCAATGATAATAATGAAAATAGTAGTTATATTGATAATAATAATAATTATTAGAATAATAATAATAATGATGATGATGACGATGATAGATTGACAAATTACAATATTAATAATGGTAATAATAATAACAATAATGATAATGATAATAATAATGCTGCTGCTGATAATGATAATAACAACAATATTAATAATGATAATAATAATAATGATAATATTGAAATTTATAATGAAAATGATTATATTAATGATAAATCAATGGTGATAAGAACGATAATGATGATGATAATAATAATAATAATAATAATATAATAATGAGGATAAACGTAAAGAAAAAAAATAGATAATGATAATAACAACGATAAACAGACAAATTGTAATAGCAAGGGTGATGAATAGAGAAATGCAAATAACAGTGAAGATAATACTTAATAATAATAATAATAATGCTTTAATTGCATTTTTTACAAGCTGATAACAAATAATCAGCTGATAACACAACCACTGCTGCTCCAGTTAACCACTATCTCTGAGGAAGAGTAGCAACAATATTAACTGAATACCTACTACCGAAAATCAGATTTATGACAAGTAATACCTAACAACACTAACCTCAATAATGATGGAAATCCGATGTGATAATGTGGTAATACCAAAGTCACTGATGACAACAAACAATAACAAATTTCATAGCCTAATAATAAATAAATAGAATATTAATGACACTGAATGTGAGGATTCTAAACCTAATAATAATAATAATGATGATAGGAAGAAGAAGACTGATGATGGTGATGATAATAATGATAATAATAAAGTAATGATATTAATAATATAAAAAATGACCATGATGATAATAACAGGACTAATGATAATGTGTTTCATGATATTCGCAGAGTACACACACGAGATTTTACAGTAGCCTTCAAATGGGAAACTGGTATCAGTATGAAAATGAAAACAGCCACAGTATGAACTAAAAAATAAACGTTTCGTTTCGAACTATTCATGAGTTACTCTTCAGACGATTAGTTAATCAAAATGGGTCCTATATGTGGACCTACTTCTTATTACGTTGAATACAATCTTAAAGGTTGTTCCGGGGCCTGTCTCGTAAAATTTATGTAGAGTTTGAAATTTGTATGCTTTGGGCAGTAGGAAAATAGTCTGATTTTGTTGAGAGCTGTGCGTGCTTGGTTTATTCTGTGTTGTGCGTGTATGGATATCGTGTCAGCCGAAGTGTAGGCCTAGTATGTTTCCTGTGTTTGCGTATGACATGTCTCTGTTGTTTATTGTGATTGGAGGTGGGTTGCGTCGAGCAACTGGAATGATAATGATTTTTTTTTCTTTTTTGTATCTTCCATTATTTTTCGTATGTGTTGATTGTGTTTATGGATGTTTGTGTGGCTGCATTCATTATGTTTTTGGATTTGGAGAGGTATGAGATGATTTGTGCAATGTCTGCGTATGCGGTGTAGTTGCTGTGGGATGCTGGGGTGGTGAGGAGGCATTGTATAGTGAATAGAGTTGGTGAAATGCTTCCTTGTGGCACTCCACTTCTGAGGTGGATGGGGGGCCAAGGTAAGACCCAAGCCAGATGTTGGCTGATGTGTCGTCCAGGAAGTTGCGTAAGTGGCGTGTGAGATATGCAGGCAGTTGAAGTTGAGTTTTGTACTTAAGACCGTCATGTCAGACCTTATCAAAGGCCTTGGTACGTCTCGCAGTATAATGTTCATCTGGCGCTTGTTTGAGAGACTAAGAGCGATCTCCTCGTAAGGAGGGCGATTGCGCTCCCAGTCTCTCTCTGTGTGAGCGGAGGCCGTGTTGCCTAGTGTTGTGTATGTTGTTGTTTTCAAGGTGTGTTTTGAGTCTGTGTGTGATTAGCCTCTCTAGCAACTTCCCGGGGACCTCCAGCAAGGAGATCGGCCTGAAGCTGGTCACCTTATGAGGTGACTTCCCCGGCTTGGGTGTTAGTACAGTGGTGCTTGTTTGAAATGGGAAGGGAAATATCCTGTTGCCAGGACAGCGCTGAAAATGTGACGTAGTCTGGCGAGCATAATAGGTGGAAGGTACTGCATGATGATTTTTTTATGTTGCTCGCTCCCGGTGCTGTTATTGGTAAGTGTGTGAGCGTGTCTCTTGTCTTCTGGTGTGATGGGGCGTGAGAGACGGTCCTCTTGTGCGAGTGCATCGAGAGATTATTTGTGAAGGGAAAATCAAGTGTTGCAGTTGTTGTAGTGTTTGCGTGACCTCGGCCTCTGTGTCTGGGTTGAAAGTCGTGTTTATAGCAGGGGAGATCTGGTTCTGTTGCCAGGTGCACATGTTTATATATGACTCTCTCCCCATAAATAGGGGCGGAATCATAGGAAAGTGTAGCGCGACAGTTCCTTGTCGGCGGAAAAAAGGACTCTACTGTCAGTTTTCAGGATTATCCTGTCTGTCATAATCAATGTAAACCCACAAACTCATAGTTTATACAAGGTTATGTATGATTTATCAAGAAATTGATTATACTTTAAGTACTAAGGCTTTCTATGTTCATGACTTTTTTCTTTTGTATTTATGCACGTAATTCAATGTTGGTTTCTAGAGTTATGTATTCATTTTCGTAGCGGTTTCATTACTTGACTTTGCTTTGTAATGCGATCTAGCTAGACCCAGTTGTGCATGTGCTTAATATAAAACCTTGATAAGCAAAAAAATGGCCAGTAGAAAACTGTGACTCAAAAATATGTAAACGATTTTCATACAGCAGTCATACTTTTTGATAATGTAGATTATACCTGATCTTATATATTTTCCCTTTCGTTTCAACCTATATAAATATATATTTTAGTTATCCAGATAAACTTTCAATGTTATTTTAAGAATATATATATACCCCATACGTTTACTGTATGATTTTTACATGTGTAAGTCGGAGAATGTAATTGAAAATTTCAGTTCATAATTTAGGAAGTGGTATTTTAGCCAAGCCGAGCACTTCGTTTATTCCTCTTATTTTTTCTTCTTTTTAAATTCTCGTTTTACATTTTCGATAAAAGTCAACGATAGTGATCGTTAAGTAATTTCATTCTAGGTAATGGAAATAGATGACATTAAGAAAACCAATTACATTACAATGCTGGTTAATCTTCATAATATAGGTTCTATCTGTAGCGTACTTGCAGATTTTATGAATTGTTTTGCTGCCAAATTTCCAGGAATTTGAAGTCTATGCTCCGCCCACTCAGGCGTGCTAACCTGTGCATTCAGCTCGCCAACACGCGTGCGCAACCCATCGCCGAAAGGGTAATAGGCCGACTACTTACATTTTATTCTGTAACTCTTCATTTGGCCATTTATGGGGTATTTATATGATATTTTATAATGAAATTAATGTGAAGATGGTATAAGATCATACAAAACGGTAAAACATTTATATATAGGCTCAAAAGAGTTGATAAAACGTACTACAACTGACATCGAAGGCAGCACTGATAAATCTGGGATAAA